CCCCCCACCGTCTTAGAACAACCTCAGGGCAAAGGAACAAGATATCAAAATCATATGAAATTCAGAGATATAATTTGTTAAAGTATTGTAAATAGCTGTTGCTGTGAAAAGTGTTTGGGAAATAATTTGTTAATTGTTCAATTTGTTACCTTGTTTTTTCTTGTACCGTTGACGCTGGAAGCACGTTACTGTAAATACTGACAAATGCAACAAAAAATTCCAATTGCAAATAAATGTATTTTCTGCCCCTATATGCATGTAGATTCACGGCAATAATCTTGCAACACCGTTTGCTAGACAGAGAAATACACAGCTTAAGTACTATGACACTGTTATTGTATATAAACATTGTGAGTATTTTCCTACACACTGGTGTGACTGAAAATAAACAATACGTGACAACATTTATTTATAAAGTTCAGTGTAATGTTGTTCACAAAAAACCCAAGAAAACAAACAAAACAAAACAAAAACCAACGTAAAAGCCATTTTGTACCACAGCAGATTCGGTGTAGACTAAACGATTAGGAAAAAGAAAAATTATTATATTAATGCATTACCGTTGAAGTTCTGCCTGATTTATTTAGTCAGTAATCAGCTACACGAGGGTGCGGTGACAGAGTGGTTAGTGCGCTCGTCTCCGAAGTGGAAAGTCCGGGTTCGAGCCTCAGTTCGGATGCTGATTTTGTTTGCCCCCTCCTGCCCACCCAGCAGTAATGGGTACCTGAATTCGAGTTGGGGAAGTAAAGGCGGCGTGGAAAGGAACTGGCCGCCCTACCACGATATGCTGAAGGTCCAAGAAGTTGTCTCACTAACAAGGCAATCCCCAATGTCCGGATCGGATGAGGAAACAACTTTACTTTTAAATCAGCTAAACAAAAACGTGTATAACCACCTGTAACTGGTTGCTCTAGTGCAAGGGCATTGATGACTGGCATCAGGCTATGTTTCAACAGTAAGACAACTTCCTGGGCCTTCGGCATATTGTGGTAGGGTGGCCAGTTCCTTTCCACGCCGCCTTTACTTCCCCGACTCGAAGTCATTATAATTTATGTATCCATTACTGCTGGGTGGACGGGAAGGAGCGAAAAATATCCATGTCAGAACCGAGGCTCGAACCCGGACTTTCCGCTTGGGAGACGAGCGCACAAACCGCCCCGCCACCGCACCCTCTATCTATTTTACTCAAGCAAATTTTAATAATGGCTGCATACAAATTAATCCACAAAGACGTTTGCCTTGCAGCTTGTTTAGGTACAAAGAAAAAAGAAACATGATGAATTTCTTTAAAGATTGTCTGTATTGCTATATTCCATGTGGTGCTGACTTTTGTACATTATAATTATCATATTATCATAATTCAATGTCTATAATTGTGATACGAACTTATATACTTTCCGTTTGTAATATAATAATATTGTTTTTTAATGCTTTTTTGTGGGGTGGGTGGGGAGGGGGGGGGGTTGTTCAGCATCTTTCGCGTGTTTGTTTGTTTTTGAATTACTACGAGGTATTGTTTCTATAAGTCGGAGCTGTTCTGGCGGTTTTTAAAGGTTTTAAAGCAATTTTTTCCCTGTACGAACACTGACTCTCCCAATTTGAAAAAAAAACCTGGTTTGCACCCAGCATCCACTGACATTAGTTTCGTGCTCTTTTCATTTAAAAAAATTTTTTTGGCTTTATTTTATTTATTTTTTTGGTAAGTGTTTTACGGCGCTCGCAGCTGCATAAGATAATATTAGCGCTCAACATTAGAGACACTGAACATTTTCAGTAGGTAGAAAATTTTGAATTTTGCCCGGTTTGCGGCAGAAGCCTACTCTTATTGATTTTAGACAATCAAGGGATCTTTAACATGCGCCACTTGCACACGGAACCTCCGAGACTTTTCGCCCAAGTCCGAGAAGGCTAGGTGTAGATCTTTCCTACCAGAAGATCAGGGGTGTGGCTGAAAGACAGCAGTAAGAAGGAGCCAAAGAGTGGAAGTAGAAAGGCTGCAGAAAGAGTCAGGAGCCCAGAAAAGGGGACAAAGAAGGTGAGGGGGTGGGGGCAGAAAGAGGAGCCGAAAGCAGACGACAGAACATTGCAAGAGAGCAGTAAGTAAGTAAGTAAAGAAGTAAGTTTATTCAGTGTTTAAGGCCATTGGCCCACATCACGTCGCACAAAACATTCATTTGATAAATAAAGTTTCCATAATGAATAAGTACAGTTTGTGCACATATCTCTTATCATGAGTCAAACATTCATATTTCTTTCACTGGGCTGAGTCAGGCGGGGAGGAATTAACAATTCCCTTTGATGGACAAAGTGTGAACAATAGAAAATAAAGTGAAATTCATCTTCAATGTCATGAGAGTTACACCTTTCACATAAGGGCGAATTAGTTAATTTCCACCGATAGAGACTGTTATTTAATGGAAGGCTATGGGTTTTTAACAAAGCTATGACTCTTCATCTCCAATACCGTGGGATGTTTGATATATTTAGCTGCTTCTTGAAACGGAATTGTAAGAAAGAAAACATTATACTTGCGACAGGCTTCTTCCTTTATGTTCTGCACAGAATGATCAACAAGTCTATTTTTTACTTCACTGAGAAAGAGTCTAGAACTTCCAACATTTTGAGAAAACCAGGCATATCCAAAACCCAGGGAAAATCATAGGTTTTTAACTTCCGTAGCCCAGTTGACTCTGCCCAGTTCACAGGAACGATATAATTGCATGTAACATTTCTTTGGATATCTGTCATTTTCTAAGTGTATAAGTCTGCACCAGAATTTAATGACTCAATGCATGTAATCAGAACACAAGTTGGTTCTTCCCACTTCTCTTAGAACTAAACATTTGGATGTAGTTTTGCCAAGACCCAAAAAGGCCTTCCAGAACTTTACCTGAACATTATCAATCACGTCACAATTTTTGGTACCCCAAATTTCAGAGCCATAAAGCAGCATTGGTTTAATCTTTATATCAAACATGTTTTTTGCTGTTTCGAAATTTAATTTTTGGTAAGCACCGAAAAGCCTTCTTGTTCGAGAAACAATCCGTTGAGCTTCACAAGACAGCAGGAAAGGAGGTGCAAGGTAACACTTTTAGAGAAGAAAATTTTTCGGTCCCTACCCGGATACGAAGCTGGGGCCTTTGAATGAGAGGCGAACACCTTAACCTCTAGGCCATGAGAGCCCCCCCCCA